CGAAGGCACCCCAACCCACAGAGCGTGGAACGACGTCTTCTGAAGTACAACCGACGCACTCAACATTTCGTCGGACTTCGCAATTCAACTCTGAGATCAACGTCTCGTCTTCGTCTAGCGGTATATTCTTTACTGGAAAACCTCGATGGGCTGGTCACATAATAAGAAGAACAGACGATAGTGGACACTAAGAACTCTGGAATGGATCCATCACGAAGCAAAACGTCCTCAAGGGAGGCCACCGACCAGATAGGCTGACGTGTTCGTTGCACGGAGGACCAGCTGAATTTCAGCTGTTGAAGGGTAATCGGTCTGGACTTCGCGAACGCTGCCTCCGCAGTTCAATACCAGCTTCGTGGATGACGCTAGCGAGAGACAGAAACGGATGGAAACAATACTGGGGCCTGCACGAGGAGTGAAGGCAGGCCTATCTCAGTTTGAATAACTGCTAAATTGTCGAATATCAATAATTAGACTTGAACAACGTACTACTAGGTGATTGCGCATCCACTGTTGAGCAAATACTAGGAGTTCTCATCGAGATATTGTCCGATACAATTGCCCGGCAACGACACTTCGGACAAGTTTGGTCCTCGCGCTCCAGGAGAAATGTGTGAAGACATCTAAATTAGTTTTTTTCAAACCATTCTTCTCATCACTTTGACAAAGGAAACAAGAATCAATTTTACTTCAAAACAATTTACCTTTCATGAAAGACATGCGAACATCTCAAAGCTTGCAAGCTTTCGTCCTTGAGCCCATACCTAAATAGACATATTCAAGAGACATACAGTTTGTGGTATTTCATCTACATACCTCTGCCCACAGAAATTACAAAACAGCTCCATTTCTTGCGTAAGCTGACTGGCCGCTCTTCGGGCAACCTCTTCGCTGTCCTCATCGTTTAATTGGGCATAAAGTTCGGCAAGTCGAGAATGGCACTTCAACATGACGTGCTGGAAAACAAGGCTTCGTAGAAATCTTCCAATGATATAACAAAGCTAAACTGTACTTTGCACCCTAATGTTCGAGCAATATCCAAACATTTTTTATTCAGTTGAATCGCTTGACATTCGCACTGTCCCGTATAGTGTGAGCGACTCTCGGATGCACTTTTAGCCATGCTAGCCAACACCAGTACCTCACCCATTCGATCCTGTGATGCTCGCAGAACTCGATACGCCTCTTCATATCGCGCCCAAGATTTCTGAACAAGTTTCTTTAAAGGAATTTCTTAATGTTTGAATTATATAGTTGATACTACGACAGAATAAACACACTGTTATCGTTTCCTTTGCTTCCGATTCTCCTAATTCTCTGTATATATCAGCTAAACTGCACATGCACCTCGCATGGAGTGCTCGATTACCCGTCTCTGAAGCAAGTTGCAGAGCCTCCTGAAAAAGTCCGATCACAATTTTTCTAAGTTAAAAGCAAAAGTATTATCACTTGCGAGCTCAATGATCTGCATGAATAGTATACCACCAATTTCTACAAGGGAGCTGCACTAAGCAGTGGAACTGAGCACGAAAAGGCTAATTGAGAAATCCAATAAACTCAATAGGACTAAGCCTCATTTTAGGTAGATTCTTTGAATAAGAAAGCTCTTAAAACCGTGATTCCACTATGGATGCAGATCAGTGTGTAGGACCTGGACTGATTTCGCCTTTCTGTTGCGAAA